ATCTTTGAAATTGAAATGGTCATATTCTTGCCCGTTCTTCTTTGTAGTTGTGAAGACAGTGTCCGGAAGATTTATTAGCATGCTTCAGAAGCTACGAATAGCAGCCATTTGATTTAGCCTCGTCAACTAACGTTGGGTTTATACTGATCCGCAAGTTCCAGAACACTCAGGCGATGTGCTGGAGCTGTTCCGGAACTTACAATCAGTATGACCCCAGGGGTGGGGGACATTAGGTCGCCGAAAAAGGGCGGTCCCCGCGGTCATTTGCTACAATTACGCACCCTTGTACATGCGCGGACATGCGTTCCTGCAGGGAATCCGCGCGGGACTCTTCCAAATTCGGCGACCTAATGTCCTCCACCCTGATCCCAGCCCAAAGCGAGAAATCGTGCCAGGACTCGGCCGTTGCGACGTTAGGTGCAGCGGCGTGCCCCGCCACGCTTCTCTGGTTTGGCAAGGACTCGAGTGAATGTAGGCGCGACTAGGTTGTCGGAACTTCTGAAGCGGTTTTCACGCTCCAGAAGCAGCACTGTCGCAAGCAATGACTTGCATTGGAGCCCGCTTCAGTAATTCGTTAGAGTTGAGGCGCTCAGATTCGGACACTGCCTTCAACCCGAGGCAGTGTTCACTTCGATTTGTCCAAGTAGCCCATTTTGTGTGCTTTTCTTTTGTGTTCTTGTGGCACTTTTGAAGGTTTTTTACTTCCCCAGATGGTAAGCTGAAAAGTCAACTGTCTTCCTTCTTCCTGTTTATCAAGCAAAACATCAGAAACAAAATCGCTTGTAATCTATAAAATTTGAGAGCGCAAAGTAGAAAGTGATTCGCCTCCCAGCTTTGGAGATAAGTAATATACATGCATACAGCTATTAATTTAGAGCTCAAAAATAGAATATTGAGGTCATTGAATATTGACAACTTCGCTCGTGTTCGCCCCGGAACCCTACCATATGCTCACAACAGCTTGTACTACACATACGAGTGCTTTGCTCCTTTTCCTCTTTCCCATGCACTACATCTCGGGAAATGACAATTTCGGCTAGGGGATGACCCAAAAGTCTTTTGGTAACCTACTACTCATAAGAATTTTGAAAATGACGAGAACCGTTCATAAGCATCATTAACTTTTATTGTGAAGATGATGCTTTCATATCAAAACACTATAAAAGTTTTGACTTTCCCTTCCCTTGATAATGCCGTAATTTAAGCCTTTTCACATCTCTCGGTCACTTTCTTGTCCGATTTATTTTTCTATACAATTTTTTTTTTGATCTTAAGCTCTCGTGATTCTTGTCATGTACTGAACTCCTTCTTGGTGTATTCAGATTTCTCGCGATCTCGGAGTAGCAGTCGATGTTTGTGCATTTCTTGAAGGTTGGCTTTTCATAAAAAGCGTGCTTTTGCTAGGTCGGCATGTCATGATTCGAAGCTGCTCCATAAACGCCGTTCTGTACTCCGGTGAACGCCAGATGCATACGTAAAATGTTTGTGCGTAACATATCATAATGAAGAATACCTGAATTAGTAACTGTAACGATTTCACATGAAGCTGAGAAGGAACCAACCGTGTTAGCTTGGATCGTCGAGCGAACGCTAGCTGAAACGTTGAGCGCGGCTCCAAGATTGGCTCCTTGTGTTGCCAAAAAGAAGCTAACAATGTAAAGGCCGAGTATGACTTGCAAGCGACGAATTACTGTCTGCTGCTCTTTGTGTAGGCTTGACATGGCTAAAGAGATTTGTAGTTTGCACTGTTATGCCACATAATTCGAAAATTAGCAAAAAAATTTAGATGCTCCATCAGACAATGGAACCTCCTTAACAAGAATTGACCACTTTTCTTTCTTTTCAAGATAATCGGATATCACATTATCCCTCCTCCCCCCCCCCTTCATCTAAGTTATTCTTGCCCCTTTCACCCCCCAAAATTTTCGCTGAATCTGCTACTGTCTAGTGGATAAGCGGGATATTACCTCCGTCACTATTTTAGAGTAAATGAAGTTTTGACCCTTTCCCTAAAATAACATCTGCATTACGGTTTTGAAAAAGTTGCACCACACTGTCAGTGGAGCCGCGCCTCACTTCAAAAATATTTATCTTAGAGAAGATTCACTAGCACACACTAAGTTCAACTAAAATCTCAAGAGCGGTTTTTGGGTTCAAATGCTAACAAGTCATTTGGTCATAGGTAATTAGTTTCCGAAAATATAAGTCGTTCAAATCCGCCCTTTGCTTTTGCGAGCTGATTCGTTCGTCAAGGGTTACATCAGACTGCGTTATAGGTTACAACAATTATTGACAAAGCATCTCAGTGTTTATTGTTGGTCCAGAACAATCTTCCTGATTACCAAGAATTTTTCTAAATTCGACCTACTTTAGCGAAAACTATTAGGTTGATGCATAATTCCTGCACCAAAATAGGTACAGACCGCAATAACTCGGAATAATCCTATATCCCAAGTAGGATTCGATATATCATTTGATAGCGCAAACATAGCTCTACAAGGAAGTGCCCAAATATCTACACCAGCTTTGATCCACGCGAAGTTTTGAGCCAAAAACTGAAAAAAACCATGCGTCCGAAAACCTTAAGGCAGATCTTAAAAAAATTGTAACTTCGTTCAAAAAGCTCATACAAATTTTCTTTCTTGCTCACGCGTAGACGTTCCACGTAAGACATTTATCTATGCGGTTGCTGTATTTTTTTCTCAACTAGGCGATGAAAAAACGAAGTTTTTTGAAGTTTTTCATGTTTTTGCCAAATTAGTGCTGAGATGTTCTAGTATTAACAGTTGTATAGTACAAGCCGTTAGCAGTGAAACTTTACATTTTCAGCCTTCTAGAACAGCTGATTCACGAGAAATAACGAATCTAGCTCTCCTTATCCAGATTTTTCTTGCCTAGTTGCTAAAAATTCGATATTTCTCGTAAACCAGCTGCTCTAAAGAGCTGAAAATTCACATTCACACTTCTAAGGTTCTATACTATACAACTGTCAGTGCTAGCACATCTCAGCATTGTTTTGGAAAAAACATGAAAAACTTCGTTTTCTCATCGTCTAGTTGAGAAAAAAATACAGCAACCGCATAGATAAATGTCTTACATGGAAGGTCTACGCGTGAGCAAGAAAGAAAATTTGTATGAGCTTTTTGAACGAAGTTACAATTTTTTTAAGATCTGTCTTAAGGATTTCGGACGCATGGTTTTTTTCAGTTTTTGGCTCAAAACTTCGCGTGGATCAAAGCTGGTGTAGATATTTGGGAACTACCTTGTAGAGCTAGGTTTGCGCTATCAAATGATATATCAAATCCTACTTGGGATATAGGATTATTCCGAGTTATTACGGTCTGTACCTATTTTGGTGCAGGAATTATGCATCAACCTAATAGATAATCACTTGATGCTTTTTGCAGAAACTTTCTTGATTTTTTGAAATGATGTTTGGATTGAAAATTTGCCAGGAATTCCAAGGCGTGATTGCAAAATCCGAAGTCATGTTAAAGAAAGCTAATGCAATACGACGGTTTTGCGACAGATTTGTCGCGATGTCTCAAACAAAAGCTTTTTGAAATTCTGAAATATGTTTCAGATCGCTAGCCTTTTAGTAGTTAGTAATGTGTTGGTTTTTTTCGAAACTACTTTCAAGAAAGTGGTAGAATTTTGACGGTTTTTTCCCTGTAAATGCGGCCGGAAAAATTTACCACAATTTGTTTTTTTAAGTTAGGAGCGCAGTTGGACATATCAGGCTGTACCATAAGTTCCGTTTCGTTTTGAATTCTAACCGCAGTACTCAAATACTTCCCATTTCTAGGTAGGTGCAGAATACACTTCGATAGAGCAAGGCAAGCTCTACAAGATAGCTGTCTTGCTTCTGTATCAGCTTGAACCCACGCCGAGTTTGATGCTGGAAACCAAAACGAATCAATTGGCCTGAAAAATCGAGGAAAAGTCGTAACTCTGTCCAAAAAATCCTACGAAAATTCTGGCTTGCTCATGTAAGCACCATGCACATAAGACATTTGTATATGCCGTTGTAATATTTTTCCCTCAATTAGAAAGAAAATCAAGAAAACAAAGATTTTCATGTTTTGCCAAAGTGATACTGTGCTGTCCTCACATAAGTAATTGTATACTACTAGCCTCTAGAAGTACAAGCGTAAATTTTCAGCTGTTTGCAAGCGTTGGTTCTCGAGAAATATCAAACACACTTTCCTTAGTCAGATAAATTACGCTAAAATCTGTATTTCTCGAAAACTAAAGCTTAGACTAGTAGTATACAGTTACTTATGTAAGGACAGCACAGTATCACTTTGGCAAAACCATGAAAATCTTCGTTTTCTTGAAATCTAATTGAGGGAAAAGTATGGCAACGGCGTATATAAATGTCTTACGTGGATAGTATTTATGTGAGCAAGTTAGAATTTTCGTAGGATTCTTTGGACAGAGTTACGATTTTTCGAGTTGTTGAATCTTTTTAGTTTTCCGCTTGACTTTCGAGGTGGATTTAGGCTTTTGCAACAGCAAGAACCTCATCTTGAGAGCTTGCTTTGCTCTATCGAATGGTATTTTGCAATTCATGTTGAAATGAGAAGTTTTTGACTTAATGCGCTTGAAATTCAAAACGGACGAACTTATGGGACAAACCTGATACATGGTGGGAATAATTCTAGCAGTTGAAGCTCTTCACTGGGACAGACGAGTCATACTTATAGCTTTTGATTTGATCATGTCAGAATAGACCAGGAACAAAGATGTTCATACTAACTGAAGGTGGCTCTATTCATCTTTCTCCCCTCCTCTCCTCCCGTACATAATAATTCGACTTTTTAGATCATTAAGCAATGATGTAGAAGTCAAAGGCGTGACTTAAACTGGAGCATCGGCAAATAGAAAAATTGATTTTTTTTCATTGTGTCTGAATTACCTTTAAAACGGACAATTCCAATGATTACAGCATAACATATTACAACTATGCAACTTATGATAAGATTGATGAGTATGATGAGTCGACTAGGTAGCGGTGTCAGTCCTGCAGTTGTGAAATTCATGGCTTTATCCACTGGTGCATTTCACTCACCTAGAGAGGGGATGCAAAAAAGAATGACTTCGTCGTTCATAGTAGCGAATCCCCATAAAGTCGTAATCAGAGGATAAATCGAGCACAGTATAGTTGCCACGATAACGTAGGATTGTGTCCGCGCCGAACGATGCCTAGGTAATTTCAGTGAGCCATTGCTTTCATTTGACAGGAGTTTACATCTAATAATAAGATTGACATGCTGTATTCTGAAGTGCTATACAAGACGAACAGGAGAAAGAGAAGAAGAAGAATGAAAAGAGATCAAAATCGCATTCTGAATGAGCTGCGTGCCTCAAACTTTACTTTTCAACTGGCTGTGCTACTGCAATATGAACATATGGGAAACCGTAAATGCCAAACGAGCTCTAGTTTTACATATTATGTTCCAAGCATGAAGCCATAGTGTAAAATAATTTCCCATAGGTTAGGCGCTCTCAAAAGGTCACTGACACAAAAAAAAAAGAACTTAAGAAGAAAAATGAAATTTTGCTTCTGCACGGCTTAGTCCTTACTTCCACGGAACAAAATAAATATTCGGTGGCTTAACGTTCTTCTTAACTTTCTTTCTTGTTTAGGTTTTGGCTAAGGAGATCCCAATATCAAATGGTGGCAAATGTGCTATTCACGGACTGAAACTCACCACATAGGAAATATCAAAGCTAGCATGAGGTCCAAAGAGATGGCAAGCGTCATCACAGTTTGTTGACAAATAGCAAACACGTAGAATGATACAAATGGATAACAAAAACTTCTTGTTATTTTTATCTCAGACAGGAGCATAGCTGAGTCCATGAGCTCAGAAAGAAGACAAATGATGTGGAAAACAGCAGTGATGGCAAGCAGTATACCTGAAACGGAACGATAAAATCGTACAAAAAGCGACACTTCTTCCTCATTTTCAGTATCTGAGCACTACTGTACTTCTGATGCATAATTTCACGCAGTTGGAAGCACCATATGGGTAGCAAAACTGACAACTGTCAATTTAATTTCACAAAACTATTCATAAATAAATAAAAGTTGGAGCTATAAGAATAATGGGTTTTGCATACTCAAGAGCTCTTTTTTTTTTGAAATTTGGAGTCACAAATATATTTGGAACTTAATTAGTAGTCATTTAGATACGATGGAAAGAAAAAGGCTTCTTGTATACCTGGCTTGGTCTGCGTTGATTTCTTCCGCAAGCTTATCCAGATGAGCTGTACATTTCCAAACACACCAACAATATTAAACAGTATTATACCACCGGCCAGGAAGAATGTGTTCAAGGGAGGCATCGTTTCAGAAGTGGGGTAAGATGAATATGAGTTGTTTGTCGTAGAATTCAATGAAAATATAAGATGGAAGTAAAGCTGTTTGAAACAGAGATGGAGTGTCGACGAATTATTGAATTTATCAGACGATATTTCCTGTTTATACTGTCTATGTCTCAAAGAAAGGAAATCACTTTCCATCGAAGAGGAAATGATCTTCTCAGTCACCATAAGCCCCTTTCACTAAACAAACCTACGGTTAAAGGCAGTGTCCGGACAAGGCGGGGGATTTTGGAATTTCAGTGCCATGCGAAAGTGGCCCTCCTCAGACACAGCATTGCGCAAGAACGAGGTTATAACGTCCCACCCAAAGCAAAAAAAAACAGTCGGGAAGTGGGGAACTTACGCCTTGGGTGGAGTCCTTCGACCTGTTTGAATTCCTGCTAGGGGCAGAGTACAGTCTGCTCCAATCGGGATCAGGCCGAAGCGTCGACAAAAATTTGCGCGCCCGCAGCGCTAGCGGTCTGCGCTGCATATGCGCGCTGTCGGAGAGAGCCAAAGGATTGAAGAGAGAGCAGAGAAGCAGGCCGTGGGCGTAACAGCGAAACCCTAGTGACGCGGACTCCCGCCATGCCAATTTTGGCCTGGTTAGGATTGGGGCAGACTGTACGCATGCTGCAACAGTTAAAATCGTAGGGTCCCACAGCGACTCTGCATCTCACGTTCGGCGGAGACCGTCGAATGGGAAAGCTTTGGAAAACGCATGTTCTCGCCGTTTTCGCGCATTCTAATGTGGATTTTTGGATATAGCGTTACGCATAACCCCGGTAAGTGGACTTTCTAAAAATCGAGTTTTTGCCCGGACACTGCCTTTGAGCTTGAAGGATAACGATGACAGAACAGAGGAACTTCTCCCAAAGCAGAAGCTCAAGTAAAATGTTAGAAATTCTCTGGCACGGCTAGGGTTGTTATGGTTAGAGAAAAGGTAGTTAGCATGGTTTACAGTTAACACTTATTTGCTCTTGCACCAAATACCACAGTTTGTAGAATTGCTTCAGATTATATTAATTTATTTATTTATTATAATACACGAAAGTGTGCCAAAAATAGAAACCAAAAGAACGCAAAACACAGAACATAAAACACTCAGGCTTGGATCACATTGTCCCCTGCTGGATGATCAGGTCGCTCTCCATCTACAAGAAGTGAGTGGGCCTCCACCGAGATCTTTTCCCTTACCCGAACGCATGGGGATGTAATAAATTACCGGGGCCCGGCTGACCAGCTTAACCCAAGGCGGACGAATCCGTCCGCCTTGGGTTAAGCTGGACGAGCGAGGGACCCTGGACGAGCGAGAAGGGGGGATCTCAAGGCAGAGGGCTCACTAGTCTTCGATCTCCTCAAACGGCTACCCAAGCAAAGAGAACTTTCTAAAGCCCTTGGAAAGATTGATATACTGTAAAAAACTTATTAACATGTGAAAAATCAATCAAAAACATCAAATTCCTTCAAAAACTAGATGACGTCTTTTTAGAAATTGTTTTGATATAGGGCCTTACATGTGCGTTCGCAACATTGTTAGCGAATAGCGTAGGGAGGAAGTACTGTGGGTGTACGCCGGACGACACCCAATTGTAATTGCTTCAAATTTGCTTGCGTTTCAAGCGGTGCACCAATCACAAAAATGTTTTGTGGGGGCACAATAGATGCAATTGAGTGGTATAATAAATTGACCTGAAGTCTTTGGGACTCTGCGTATAGCTTGTAACTTGCATGCTTGAAATGGCGTTATAGATAAAGGCAGGGGACGGAAAAGGATGGCAAATAACATTTGAAACAACTTTGCCTTTAACACTTTGAGATTATGACTTCTCATTGATCGCAGGAGAAGTGACACGTATCTGTATTGTAGTTGGCTTGTATATATTAGACTATCTGCTGTAAAACGATCTCTAGGGGTCTGTTGTTGAATTCACATTCCATATGTATTCGCGCTTAATTTCATGGAGTCTTCTAGTGGCGACACAGCAATTCGTCAATCCCATGCATAAGTAGATACCATTGTCGCAATTAGTCATTTATAATTGATCAAATTATGGATCTCATTACCCCCCACGTATCCGAATCCACCACACACACAACCAAGAAAAGAAGATTGTAACAACTGGCAATAACAGTAGACTGCTTGGAATGGACGAAGCTTAAAAGGGAATGGTCAGAAATCGAAGTGGCCATTCCAGACAAGCTGGGTAGCGTCAGATGCAGCATGAAGCGCTGACTCTAAATCTATCTTCCTTGCCTGCTTATCGCTTTTCTGGGCGATGCTATAAGCCATCAAAGACCATTATTTTGCTTAAAATTTAAGCGTGAAATTGAAAATTTAGCCGTACAGAGCCACGTGCGCCTCAATGCTGGGTTAAAATATGCAGCTAGCTTACTTAAAATTTGTAAAGCCAGAAGCTGAGCTGAAAATGCAGCAATGTGCTCAATTTCGCTGTTTTTATGTATGATTTTTCCGCAATAAAAGCGCTTGTAGCTTCGTCCACAGAAGCGGGAAGCAGATAAGGAAGACAGATTCGAAGTCAGTGTTTTATACTGCATCAAATGATATACAGTTTCTTTGGTTTGGCCACTTCGACTTCTGACCATTCCCTTGTTAGGTGAATCGAGCAAGTCGGAAGAGGGTTTCTTCTTGGAAGGAACCACGGTGGAGCAGAGTTCATGCAGGCAATGCAGAAGAGCTTGGAGGTCTTTTCACAATGCTTAGAACATCTAGGTGCTCCATAATGCTGATCGATTTCTACCTTCGCCGCAATTGCCGTGCTTCAATCACGATCTGGAAAGCGGATGCACCAAAAAGTTAGCTGTCCAAATTCGTAGAGGTGTTGCGCCAACAACTTACTACTTTGGGGACTCGACCCTTCAACCCTGTTATCCTGCGTCTTCTATACATAACAATTCCTTGACTAGATTCCTTATCATTATGACATTATATGAAATGGGGGGACAGAGAAAGAGAACGAATCGCAGGGCTCACTCGATGTCACAGGCACACCAGGAGTTGTTGGGCACCGCCCAGCGCGGTGGAAACTGTCGGACCATCTAGTTCACATCGATACCAGAAAAGTTTCGCTGTGCCTTCCTACCTGCAAAGCCGACTGCAAGCAGGAGAGATACCGTTGGAGCTGTCAGTTCAAAGCTCGCAAAAGCGCTGTCGTGGTTGTTTGGCCAAAAGACGGTACTCAGAATACTCTTTTGAGATTGTACGTTGTAGAATACTTTGAAAGGACATTGAATCGTATGCTGCCCCACCCGACTCAACAGGATATTGGTCGACGGCAAAGGTGACGATGCTAGAGCTCCGCTGCAGTGGCTACTACTTGTCATGAGATTGGAATCGTTGCGAATCTTCAGTTTGTGCCGTACTATCCAGTCCGTAGGGAAACCAAGCAATCCTTCATCTTATATATAAAGCTGAATGTTTGTTTGTATGTTGTTTGTCTGTCTGTCTGTATGTTTGTGTGTATGTCGTCTGTCTGTACTTAAGTTCCTAATAGAAATTTTTATTTCTGAACCGATCCGGACAAAACCTGACACACATATACTTCGGGGCGGGCCGGGTCTCGTAGTTCACTTTTCGTTATCGATCGATATCGAATCGATTTTATCCATTTTTATCGATCTTTTTTGTTAACCTATGGGGCTGGGATTTGGCACAGGGGGGTAATCGAGCATGCTGATTACGGATGCGATATTACTTTTTGGAATTATCCGCTACTTTTAACGGTTTTATCCAATTTTTTGCAAAATTTAGCGTGCTGATTACTAAAATAGCGGGGATAGTGAATTGGCATATAGATGTGGGCACAGGGAAAGGTTGTACTGGGAAAAGGATGAGAGATTTATCAAGTATTTTGACAGGGCCGGGCGGAGCAGGGTAAGCCAGCTAGTTCCCTAATATATTTGTAAATTTGACATGCTAAACTCCCATTGTCGTTGCGTCAGCGTCAAGCTAAATGACTTGGTTTCGAATTGCAACGCGGCAAGGTGCCGACTATACTTTGGCCCGAATCGAATAATTATTCGATTATTCAAATAAATCATTCGAATGGGAATGATCAAAACTCGAATATTCGAAAATCTAAGATTTCGAATACTATTCGATAGTCGAGTATTCGAGAACTTTCATTTTCGGACATTATTCGCAAGTCGAATATTCGAATATCTCAACTTTTGTATATTATTCGATAGTCGAATATTCAATGGTTCATCAAGTCGATTATTCGATGCATATATTCGAATAATCGAAGAGCATCGAATATTCGAAAATTCAATAACCATTGACCACGCGAAAATTTGCTGAGCATGATTATTTGAAAATTCGATATCCATAGCATATACAGAGTGTCTCAAAAGTTTTACACACTCTTTGATTGCTAACATCTCTCTTCACACAATGACTTTGCCAATCTTTGGGATGCCATTATGTAGAGTTCGGTCCAGTCTACATGCAGGAAT